ATATTTGGATGCGGGCACTAAATGTTTTTAAGTGAAAAGCTCTCTGTAGCTCGAGAAAATTAATGCCGAAATTGATATAGCGATGTGACTGCCTATAGCTCGGTAGACAGGTAAGAGTGAGTATTATCCAGCAAAGGCCAAAGTCCAGTGCTATCTGTTCGTTCTCTCATCATCCTAATCATATGACTGAACATGACGCACTATCAATATCAGTCCAATTACATTTGTATAGCATTATTGATCACGATCAAAGGGCACTTTTAGCTTCAATATGGAGAATATTCAGAGAAGTGAAAATCATCTGAGCAGCGAAATTCGGCACAAGAAAGAACAAAAATACTTCAACTTGTACTTTTTCCGGTTGTCTTTGTTTCAAGCGAACCTATGCTTTGCCTTCATCGCAATTGCAGGAATAGTTGGTCAAACTGTCAGCCTTCCTCTTTGGCTGTCAGCCTCGCAGTCCAAACACAAAGGCCTAATAAATGCAAACACAACCTCACCATCACCAAATTACGCCGCTAAAATGGATGCCTATTTTGTCTTGTCATTTGCAAGTCTTTCCTTTGTTGTTATATTTGGATTGATGTACGCTATTCTTGTGTACTTCTATCCTCATTTCTTTGGACCAGCAGAGCGTCGCTTCCCACATAAACTTCTCTTTGCGATTGGATTGTGCGATGCTTTGAACGGAGCACTTGTGGTGTTTGCAAGCCCGCCGAGCAGAACTGCACCGTATTTGCAAGCTATTCTGGGAAACTTTTCAATTCCCCTTACTATCCTTGCAAGGTATGTAAGTGGGTATGTATTTTAGATCTCATTCAATTTAGTTATTTCAAGAAATTGTGACCGGTAATATTTATAAGTAGACGCTCTTAGAGCGCCAATGTCGCATCTATAGTTTCTTGTTCCAGTTTTGATTGACATTGAGTGCAAGAGAATTTGCATCTCGTTATCTCACCGTCACGTGACATGTAACATCGTACTCAATGACCACCCAAGGTCAGGGATTTTTCCTTATTCGAGTTAATGGACTGTTGACATCGAGTCATTTTCAACATTAACATGACAGATGGATGATACTATTCAGAATTTGTTTGAGCAGTTTTATGAATCAAAGACCCTCCCTCCCAGTATTTTTTGGAAATCAAAAAAAGTTGTTTTGCCCTCGGTACTGATTCCTTCTTTTCTCAAAGTCAAGTAATTTTCATAATGTTGGAAACTATTTTTTCATTGCGCTCATGACCTTTAGATTACAACTCAGATACAAGATTTGAATATGATCAATTGAATTAGATCGTTTCATATGGTCTGACCACACATTCCGAGTCAGGCAATTTACAATGAAAGACTGCTGGATATCAAATCAGTAATTAGCCTAAAGTAAATCCTTGTTATAGTGCATCTATTGGGTTACAAAGAAGCTCTCTACCCAGGCGCGTGAACATTTTGGCTTGTACGCACATGTCAAGTCAGGGACCGTTACACGTAGTTTGGATCTGAGGATCTAGCGACCGCCAAAGGCRGGAGTATYAAGGGAGTCTGGACCTCCCCCAGAAAATTTTGTAATAATAACTCTTGGAAATGCGATTTCCAGGGTTTTGAGAGACATCGAGGGCATGTAAAAGGGATCAATTTTATGTTAATGTTTTAGTAATTTTAGCGAAAATTTTAATATTTTCTTGCCACTAGTACGCACGTACGTATATGCGTAAAGGACGCTACGAGCCTGCTACCGTGCATTTGTTTCTGTTGGGAAATTTTGAGAGTTCATTGCGTAAAAATTGTTCATGATTAATAGGTGTCTCTGACAAATTCTTATTTTAAATGTTTTGTGTAAGTATCGATTATGGTTTTTGTTTTCGTTATTGTATGGTTCGCCTTTTTAATAATTTTTCACATCACATTGAAGTTTCTATTTTTATTCTTCATTCCCCTATTATAATATAATAAAGGAAATGCAATATATGGAATTATCTGAACCCAGATTCTTGTTGTATTTGAAGGAGGTCAGGTGATTACAGTAGCACTGAATGAATCATTGTATTCTTGTATTCTTAAGGGTGTACTGACGTATCCGTTTCTAGACGACCTGGTTACTATGCTAGCCGATGCTAGCCAATCGGAGAAGCGGGCGCGCGCGCGTTTTCATGGCGGGAAACTTTTAACTTCCGGTGGAAAGGTTTTTGTTTACATAAAATGTATGGTATCATTTAAAAGATATAATCTTCGGTGCGAAACATCAAATGGACGTGTTTTTTCAATATTTATGTTCTTCACAGCCTCCTCTTCAGAACCAAGCATGGGTTTGGCGAAAAATTTAAAAATACGAAAGTTATTGGCATTTTTCGCTTATTTGTGGCATTTAAAAAATCGAAAAAAGCTTATTTGGCAATCATTCTAAAAACTCATGCTTGGCTTTACGGACTTAGATCTAAAGACTAATTTCATACATTTTAAATCGTTTCATATACTTTGCTTGATGAAATTATAGCATTTTTTTCGTATTGATGACGTCACGCGATGACGTCAAACAATGACGTCATAGGATGTTTTATTTTTGTTTGGGAAGGCTTATACCCAATACGAAAGCGATTTTACTTTTGTTTGTCATTTTAGAGAACTACTGAATTTCCCTAGCAACGGATATGTCAGTACACCCTTAATTGAAATCAAAGCTATTCAGTTGAATTTACAATAGAATGGATGAAATTAAACATTAAACGTCAATACAATATATAGTGAAGAAGACATGGCAGGTCGCAAGGACAACCAGTGCTGCGTGGCCTAAATTTGAGACTTTCAGGGTGACATGATCTAAATCACTGAAAAAAAACGCGCACTTTAAAGGTTGTAAATTTGATGTAAGTGTCCAAAATGATGTAAATCTAATATAAATCATTTACATCAAATTTACATCATTTTAGACGCTTAAATCTTATTTACATCACATTTACAATCTTTAAAGTGCGCGATTTTTTCCAGTGAATGTCAATCCTTCGAGACGGGACAAACTGATATTTATCTTCATGTTAACCTTATATGATACAGCCTTTTGCAAAAATTATGAGAATTGTCGAAATATCTAAATATCATAATATCGAGTGCATGATGGGTAATCCCGCGCGATGCCCTTAGTCCCTTGTCTTTGTAGTTTAGTTTTTTTTTTGGCGACAGACTTATCCGTAGTTCTGAACATTTTCTCGATGTCAACAATGAATTATTCTATAGCAAACCCGCGTGTTCCGGACAATATATGGATATGGATATTATGATATTTAGATATTTAGACAATTCTCATAATTTTTGCAAATGGCTGTATATGGTCAGTATATATTTTTTTGGCTTCAAGCACCTTAAACTCCCTTAAACTTAATTCAATCAATTAAGCATCCTTGTTAGACCTTGTTTTACGATGACAATAACGAAAGCATGCCATCCGGCCTTACCTTCACTGATGTCACCTTTCTGATGCTAACAAAGTTTTTGAAATATAATTTTAATATTGGTGTTTTTATGAAAGCGGTCAATATCGGTCCAATATAGAGGATATTACATGGGCGCGCGGAGATACGGATTGCATATTCGAGTGTGTTGAAAAGATTTTCATAACGAGAAGATAAAATTGGTATCTCTCGATTGTTTTCCTCAAATGCTTTGCTCACTAGTGAAAATATCAATTTTATGAAATGGAGAAATATAGGTATTTCATAGATAATTATATGATAAATATAGTTATCAAAGGTACTCGTTGTACTCTCTTGACCCGGAAATACAGTTTGACGAGTAAATTCTCCTTTTGAAAATACTATTTTTATTATTGTTTGTTTCAAGGTTTATCATTTTGAAAAAGAAGCCTACACAGCGTAAGTTCGTATGTGGTATGATGATTCTAATGTCACTCTTCATCTGCATGCTACCATCGATCTTTCCTAAGCAGCTTGATCCTTACAAAAAACACGAGGAGGGGCAAGGGGCGAGTGGTATTGCAGGAGTATTATGGCCTCTTTGTTTTATGTTTGGATTTGTAAGTCAAATAGGACTTTCTTATTCCGTTCAACTCTTGAACTTATCAAACATTCATCACTAAATTCGCAGCTAACAAATATGACCGAATTTGCACTAAACATGAGGCTTCAATAAATCTAAATGAAAGGAGCTCAGAATCAATTTTACCAACAACAACCGAAGTTTGATCCAATACTCCTCGACTACATATCAGACAGTAATTGGCACTAAATTGTAAGGGTTGTAAAACAGTAACGACCTAAGGTGGAGCATGCTATGAACTTTTGAGAAAGTTGCATTGTGCACTTATCTATCTAAAAAACTAAAAAGATCACACTACGAACCTGGAAAGAATCCAAAAACGGGCGTCTCGATCTATCCAGTTGCTGAACCTAATGATTGACGAAGTAAAATATATACTCCCTGCGAACAGAGTGTAATTTACCTTACCTCAGTAAAAATTCGCGAAGAAAATAAAAATAAATAAATATTTCCTTCGTGAATGAGGTAAGGTAAATAACACTCTGTTCGCAGGGTAAATATCTACAAAATTGTAATTTAAAAATTASAGAACGAGTGGACTGCTTAACAATTAGATCTCGATGACGAGTGGACTACGTAGTCCACGAGGCCGAGAGATCTAATTTTTTTTATGATTATCATACTAGTTGGACAAAAATATGAATGAAATATATAAATAACTAAATGTTTTTATTGCTTAAAATACACAAAAGTTGTCGCTTTTTGCTTGTCAAGGACTATTGAAAATAGACCCCGAGTTGCGTAGCCAATCAGAACGAAGGATTTGCAATAGTCCACTAGTATGGTAATACTAATTGTTAAATAGCTCAGGAGTTCTAAAGTTGTTTTAGTATTACCATACTAGTTAGACAAAAGATTTAATGAAATATGTAAATAACCAAATGTTGACACCACCTCAATTTCAAGTCATTCTAAAATTTCACTTACTTTCATCATGATAGTCCACTCCTTTTTTTAATCAAAATTGAAATTGATTGATAGTACTCTTATTTCGTCTTTATAGGCGCCAGGAACGTTGATGTACGTTATTGAGGAAAAAGTATTAAAGATGCAGGATTCCCAGTCATTACAACGCATCAATATAGTATATTTTCTCTTCTGGCAGTCAGTCTATCAGTTATTTTCAGTACTTCTTATGTTCTGGGTTGATGTCATCCCGGGCTATGGTTTTACATCTAGTTTTGAACAGTTTGGTAAAAAGTAAGTAATTGATACCACACCACACCACACCACACCACACCACACCACACCACACCACACCACACCACACCACACCACACCACACCACACCACACCACACCACACCACACCACACCACACCACATCATATCATATCATATCATGGTTTGTGCATTTTTTTCTTAGTTGGTGGTTCGGTTTACAGTGTTTTTTCGGTTCTGCGGGATGTGATAGTGATCCAGGTGCCAGAGGAACAATGTTTATTCTTATGTACGTATTGGCATATGTCGGAGGAGGTCTTTTGATGAGATATACAGAGGGAGCAACGCTCTTATCTATTGTTTTTGTAAGTACATGCAAGGTGTCGAAACGTAATGCAACGAATTGTTTTCATCACTCCTTAGTGTAACTCAGTTCGTTAGTGGCATTATCAGCCGTTTCTTTAACGCTTGTCTTTCACCTTCAAAGTCTCGATAGCTTTGAAGCTGACAAAGTACATTGACTTGAGCATTTATGTAGAACTTCAGTTGCGTTTACAATGACATCGGACCTTCTAAGTGTTTGTTGAGTCCGGACTATGTCATTAAGACCCTGCTTACATGAGATAGGGTGCCCCTAGTGGTAGGGGCAAAATCCTTTGTTTCAATCCTCCAGGGAAAAGAAAACAAAAGAGTTAGCCCTACCACGTAGGGGCACCCTATCTCATGTAAACAGAGCCTAAGAGGCTAGGGAGGTCACGGCCAGGCCTATGGTAGCACCTTTGTATAGCTAAATTTTATTTTAATTTCTGAGTATTTCGTAAATCCCTTTCGGAGTTCGAATTGATGGAAGCACCTTTGCCGATTAACAACATTTTAAAATTAGATTAAGTGTAGAATTTCAGATCGTTCAAAATGAGCTTGTACACAGTATATTTGCCGATAAAGAGTTTTCAATAACTACACCTTAACAAGATCTCGCCCAGTCTTTCGTGATTTAATGTGTCTATTCTTTTTTTGATGCAGTCTTTAGTTACGCCTTTGGGGTTTTTATTCTGGACACTTTTCAAGCCTGAACCTTTTGGTTTTAGCCCCGCAGTTCACGTCTCTACCTACTATAGCATCGGGGCTTTGGTTATCATGGTACCAGCAATCTATTTCTACAATACAGGGTATATGTAGTACTTACTTTAACAATGTTCATGAATTCATCGCTATTGTTGTTGAACGATTAATAAGCAAACTTTTGGGTTCCAAAATGGCTTAAAACAGAAGAAAAGGTTTACATAAAATTCTTGTTGAAATTCACTGTCCTAATGCTATCACCTTGAGGGGAATGCAGTATTTTCGATCTAGGCGATCGCTCGACAACTTTTTTGCCGTTTCTGATCATTATGATCAATCTTCATTCTCGGGAACCCAGGGGTAATCTTCAGTCGTTCTTTGCTCACTCTCAGAAAAACACGAAGGCTATTAGACCTTGTTCTCAATTCAAAATTCAAAATGGCGGCCGGTAAATTTCTGATTGGAAACATTCTGATTGGTTTATTAATTTACCGGCCGCGATTTTGAATTTCGAATAGAGAACAAGTTCTAACGCAGACTTCGTGCCCAGAGGTTTTTTTTGGCTGGGAGTAAGAAAAAAACGAAAGAAGATTAACCCTGGGTTTTTGTCTGACAGAAAACTTCGGGAAATAATGAGCTCAAAAATGGTTGGAGACTGTATAACGAGTAGTACGATCCAATCTTAGCTGATTTAAACTAAAATGCCAATTAAACTACAGATTAATTGCATAAAATATCTTCTAAACACATTATCTAAAGCGTGGATAGTATCAGTTTTTCTAAATTTGGCTTCTAAAAGAAGTTTTTTAAATGTTATCTCCAATTCTGATCTCACCACGAATACTCTTTACAACATACAATACTCTATATACAATACAGTATGTAGCGAAAAYAGGTGATGCATACGAGAGAATGACTTAATTGATATCCCCCTTAAAAAGTGCGGCAATTTTCTTACAGAGCACCTGAAATGGACATGTCGAAGCATGGACGGCAAGAATATCTCTGTGCAAGCAATCCATCTGATTACCATACTCTTGGCGAACAAGATCCTCTAGTGATCATCGACAAGAATTTGTGACATCATCACGCTCGTGGAACTTAATGTCTACTCGTTAACTTCTCCAGAATTACCTGGAGATTAACATTAGCAGCTGTCGTCATTCAGTTTGATAAATTATGGTGATTCGAAAAACAGAATGAAAATGGACGCTTAATTCTAATGCCAATCCATAGCTTTATTAAGAATTTGCCAAAACCCAGCTTCTTCATCACTCAGGGCCGSAATGTGACGTCATTAATCATGAGGCAGATCTCTGCCGCAGCCTAAGTAAGCGCAYCAAGAGCGTCTAGTTCATTCAATAAATAAAGAGGTGGAATTTTAATGMAATTCGAAAATTTATACCTATACTCTCAAACAGTTGAAGAGTTATTGTTCTMAATAAACAATTTCGTGTGAAGTTAAAACGAAATAGGGCAATTGGATAACGTAATTAAAACAGGGACGCGCGTCACGAGCCGATGACCCCTGAAATTACAAAGAAATGTATGGAGAACTAAAAGTGAGTTTACTCGCTCCCTACATCAACGAATTGAAGTCCTTCAAAACTCGCCAGTTAACTCATTTTCGAAGTATCTAACGTTTTAAATTAATGATTATTTCAGAATAGGAATTCAACTGGAATTACTTGACATCGATTTCACAGTGTATCCTAGTTGTTATTTTGCGAGACTTGCCTACCCATGAAAATTGTGTCAAAAACATCACCTCAACTGCATCTCAACTATTCTCAAATGTCTCAGGACCATGAWTAGGACGATAAAGAACTTTAATCTTAGCAAAATGACTAGCATTTAGGTATCAGAATTGAASGAAATTAAATATTGCACTCGAYGTATAAATAAACAATATATACTACAGAAGAGAATATTCACTTACTATGCGTCCAACAGTATTTTAAAGTGCAYATAAAGGAATTTTTGTTGTGTTTCCTAAAGATAGTTTACCAATCATTAAATATGCTTTGAGGAAAACAAATTCAAAAATCGAAATAGCGGTGTGTTTTTGAGGCGATTCAAGTCCAAAAATGGCCTCCTKTGTTTTTTGTATCGGGAGAGTCCTAGAGAGACTGGAGACAATTGAACGTGTGACGTAGCTTCAGTCAGATCAGTCTCGAAGTTTGCAGAGAAATACTAGCAAA